CGCATCTATATATTTTTACTTATCTTAGTAAAAATTTTCGATATTCAAATAGTTTGGATCTGCCAAAATCTCCATTAATAATTCAGGATTTCGACAAGCGTCCTTCTGTTGTGAAGCATATGCGACGACATCTACGGCCTCTGGGGGTGTGGTTCAAAGCCGCGGAATATAGTTCATTGCAGGGTGAGTTTCCTTATTTTGTCACACCAGCTTCACCATTAGTATATGTTTTAAACCTTGACTATAGAATTGAGATCTACGAGTGTTGGATATCACATGTTATACATCACCAAGTAAATTTCTTGACTGCGGTTCATTTGCAGCAAACGTGAAACATCGTTGCCAAAATTCAAAATGCAGCAGCTATATCAAAACAGGCTGCTTGCATGTGCATTTCAGATTAGTTTATCTTGTGATCGTTAATCCATGTGGTGTGCTTCCGGTTTGCATAAAGAGCTTTATTCAGTCTATGCACTTATCGCCTGATCGCAGAGTCCTCAATCACACAGTTCCTCCTGGCAATATTTATCCGTTGCACAAGGCTCCGTGTGAATTTTCTCAGCACGACTTCTGGTTGTCACAAAATACTTAGCTGCCAGACTAGCAAGCCATATTATAACACAAACATATCTCACGCATACCACTTGTTGTGATTTGGATGGGATGGGATGCATATACGCCCCTCTGTCTGGTTGAACGACTTGCAGTGCTGCTCCTCCGAATTTTGACGTTATCTTCCTCGAGATTACTCATAGGGGCTTTGCATTTTCGTTTATCACAGTCCAATCAGCAGACAATGAGTTCAATCGCATCTACGATGACCCCAGCGACGCGGCCCAGGATTCGTAAGTTGTACAATTTCGTATTTTGTAAAAATCCCTATGTATCCCTGATTAGGAGACGCGAATAGTCTCATATTTAAGTCGTATAATCGAGTTTTGCTTTCAGATGGGCTTTTGCCCACGAAATCGACTCGTGTCATCGAATCGCCGTACATACGATATGTCGACATGTAAAAATTTCGTCTTTTTGTTCTTATTCAATTTATACGGCATACAAAACGTTGCCTCCCAGTGGAAATGGGTGGCAGCACGTGGGTTGTATGTTTCATACTGGGTACCTTGACTCATTGTTATCATCATTAGTGGAGCTAAGCTCAAAATTCATATTCAAAATGTTAGTATATGATTTACATGGTGAATAAATTTACAGCGAGAGCACAAGTTGGCGGTGCAATATAGACAGATAGATATACAAAATGAGCATGATGCAGATACTCACGTGTTCTATTTTGGAGGTTTGACTACCACGGAACATTACGGATATCATTGATACCATTGTTTTGCATGTTTATATACAGCCATGGAGAGGTTGAAGACTGGAGGAGGATAGTCGACTGGAAAACAATGCTTGTGGTGTGGGCCAATGTGGCAGGCGACTTTTTCTGGCCGGCACAGGTACAGTTTTGTCGATGAGTCTGTACGCTACTGGTCTGCCATTGTCGACTTTGATTTGCAGCCTCGTATGCATATTCGAGCATTTCAGTCACTATGTGACATTGTTAGAATGTTATTATTGCTTTTATCGCTATTCTTGCGGTCGTCTAGGGTGTCCCTGCTTCCTTCATGTGAGAACTTGAACTTTTTATTTTTGAATGTTTTTTTAGTGGTTCGAACGCAAATGCGGACCATGAAGGATTTTCGTACCTGTAAAAGGGTGTGTTTTAGTTTTTTTTTAGGGTTTCAGGGTTTGACGCGCAACATGAGGAATAAATACACAATCGTAGTAGATAAACAGTTCCTTTGTTTATTTTTATGAACTTTTACGTAGTATGGCGATATTCTGTTTGGCGAACGTGACTCGTTCGGAATTTTATGTACTCACTCCCAAAAGTGGCGTACACGTTGGCCTTAAATCATTCCTGGAATCGCGCGTGTACTTGCGTTGCTGATATCTAGTGTTTTTGTAGAGTACTTGTATTGCTGATAGCTTCGTGCATTCTGACTAGTTGTCGGTCGAATGTCCTCTGCTCCCTTGTTACAGATCATCGATCCCTTTGAATCACCCGAGTCGCGTGCGCTGTGTCTGAAAGCGAATGCAGCCGTAGGATGTATTATGGTTCGATTTTTCGGAACACACAAGATGACCTGGGTGCCGGAAAGCGGATTAAGGCGTATGTGTCTGCGATTTTATACAAACTCTTGTGACAAATCATATTTAACTCTGAGCTGACAATTAGACGCGGGGGTACTTTGCTGTCCCATGCATAATAATGACCACGCATGTGATACCCCGCCCATTTGGTAAAGTGTTTTATTCACGTTGTGGCTGCACCTGTGTGCGTAGCCGCAATAACGGACACGGTGCCCCGCGGGTGGTCACCCAACTGTCGCCCAAAACATATTTGGCGCTTGAATTTATCTGTTAAGAATCACATCGGTGCTTGGCCTACGTCCATGTATTGATTTCCACCAACGTGACGAGGGTTTTCTTGTAGTTAGTACCCATGATTTTAATTCATACACCTGTCTGTCTGTATATTATAGTATCAATTAGAATAATAATCTGTTGTCAGTGTTTGTGTGTGCGAACCTTGCATGGAGATCTATACATACACGCATACTCACGTCTTTTTAACATATTTATGAATGCGCAGCTTTGAATGAGGGGTGGGAAGTGCAGAGCCAGCGGTCGCGTGATCCTCTATTCATCTCTGCCGTGAGCGATGCCAAAGCAGTCCATGACAAAATGTCTTACCAAGGCCAGGCGCAGGTTTAACTTGTCGTTTGTGGGACGGTGGATATTGTCATATACCATTAACCGCCTTTACAATCAGTCAATCAAGCTCTCCTTGATAGCTTAATACAATATATAGAAATATCTTACCGTCAAATAAATGCACCATTTATAATTATTTGCCTTATGTAAGTATGTTTGTGTTTGTCAACTCATACAAAATTGAGGCCCTGTTGTGAATATCGGATCAACATGAGTCAGTAAATTGCTTCGCAATAGAATGCTCTGGAAATCGGTATTGTACGAAGCACAATTTTCGTCGCAGATAAGTTCAAAGAGAATTATACTGATTGCTTCGACAGCAGAGCATGATGAGAGTATATTCACCAAATGTTGTATCTTGCTTATTTTGATACGAAACTCTTTCGAGAATATCATTGCAAGTGAATTTCAGTCTTTTATATGCATACTATCGTGTACATATGGATATGAATACTATGTATCGAGCTGATACTGAGTATTGCGCATATATCAACA